TGGTACCTACAGAAGCAGTTAAGAGACTTGAAGGTAATTTCATTACGTGAATTTTTAAATGATATCGCATATTTAAAAAAGTAGAGGATAGTAGTGACCACAGACTAGCTAAGATACTTCATGATCTTCTACACTATTGAAACTTTTGCTTAAATGAAGCAATTCCACCGTTTGCAAGAGACTCTTATGACAAAGTCATGAGGAAATTGGTTTATATTTCAGCTGTCGAGCTGCTTTATCTAACTATAAAATAATGTGTATGAAAAGGAAGTTATTTGTAGATAAAAATAAGATGTGTTATAGATTGTAATTGAGCACAATATTACTAATATTAAATAGATACTTTTGTCTTTTTATTGTGTTTATATATATTTTAATATTATTATTAATTTTGCAGTCAATCTTTAAGAATATCATTCACGATGACTAACTACAGAAATGTTAACTGGTGATGAGACAAAGACTTTATTTATAATATCTGAGTTTTAATTTCTGATTTTATATTTATATATTTATGTATTTTTAGTCTAAAAGAGTTAAAAAAATCTGAATCTCTGACAATAAGTTGATAAAAAAAAGCTTACCAAACCAAAAAAGAAATTTTTTATAGTTTATGGTATAAACTTTCAATATAAGTTAAAATTGATATATACTTCGAATGCAGTCTTGCTTAGACGGAGTCTATAGCTGTTTTGGCTAAGATCTTTAGATATAAATATAACTATTATATTTTGCGCAACATTTTCAGTTACAACGTAAGCACAATATGCCACCATTTTGGAATATGGCATGAGTAAGCCAACACGATTGTATAATTATTTAAAAGTTTGAATGATATTTTTAAAACAAAACTTAACTAGCTCCATTGCTAAGCTTAGTTGTATCATTCGATTTTAATTTATGCTCGAATTTCACATACAATTTAACGACGCCATAATTTTTCATTATCTTAAAAATGTTAAAATTAGTTAAGCAATTTACAAACAACGAAAAAAGTAGTTAATCACGATGTTGACCTGAAAAATTCGAGATGCAATCCTTTGTGCATAACTGTAACAACAAAAATATCAACAATTATTTATAGTTATACACCCACTTAACCGAAAAGAAAGAAAACCATGGAAAGAAAGAAATGGTCCCATTTTCAGAGTTGGAAACGGTAGAAAATCAAACAAGAAATGACTTAAGCGAAAGCAGTTATACCAGGTGAGGCGAAATGTGAAAATGATTTTAGTTGATTTCTAATGAAGAAAAAATTATACATACATATATACAGATACATGCATAATGACACTAAAAAATATTTAACTTCACGGAGCATAAAATTTAAACAAATTAAAATTTTCGACTTTATGTTATTGTCTTGAATAAGGCAATAATATTAAATTGCTTGTTCGCTTTTATATCTGCCCTGTATCTATTAGCTGGCAGATACAAATTATATAGAACACCAACTGAGTTGTATTGGTACTCGTGATGCCACATGCAAAGCTGTGTGGTATATGAAAATCCTTTTTTTAGCGTAAAACTTTACTATACTATAATTATCTGCTATGGTATGTCCGTGGTATCACTTTGTGGAATTTTATTTGTACTCAGGTGAGCTTTAGGGCGCATGGCCATCACTTCCTCTAACATAACCTAACTATGCTATTTAAAAGGAATCAAAAGTACTGACGACTTAATCTATAAAATTAAATTTTTAAATTAATTAATTAATTAAATTTTGTAATATAATTTTTCTCTAGACGCCTAACATCTTGAGATAATAGCAATAATTGTACGACTTTCATATAACTATTATTTAGTTAAAATAAGATCATTATTAATGTTTAACCGCTTCACATAAATTATATGAAAGTGGTATATTGGTTTCAGAAATTTGTTTTTAATGCTATAAAGAAGAAATTGGAAGCCATATAAAATATTTATATGTATAAAATAATGTTCTGCTTGAACTATCAATTAATCGAATCGATTTACAAAATTTACAAACTGAAAATTAAACTTTTTGGAAACGGGCCTTAATATTTATCGAAACAACCAAAATATAATGACTATAGAGTAGTGTTTCTCAGCACAGCAGCAATTTTATTGTTAACAAAATCAATTTGAAATAACACGTCTATTGACACTGTTAATTTTGTAACAGCGGTTATATCAGGATGTCTAACCGTATACGAACTAATACAGTACGCTTCTTTTATTTTTTACGTATTGAGGATCTTTGATTACCATATTGCTATCCTTAGAATAATAGAATAAGTTCTCAATTAAAATGAACGTATGAAGACTATTAATTAGTCTTATATCGATAACAAAAGCGTTTTGATAAAGACTTCAAACTGTATACGATTATGAAAACTAACTGGAAATAATGGGACAGGTTACTGACAATCGAAAATCGGGTATATGTTTCATTCTACATTTCATAGCACTGCTATTCTGAGTAACCTTTTGATTTCTTTTAAAACGTAGTTGTTAACAAAAGTGTTTCTACTTAAAACATCAGTGTTAAATCTGAATTCAGGTCTCCTTAGACTAAAAAACGTGCTCTATATATATAGCTGCTACACAATCTAATGATTTTAATTACTGTTCTTACGTACATATTTATATCTTAAGATGTAAATATCTTTATTTTTATTGTAATTGTAAAACATGAATTAAACAGAACAGCAAACGTTCTTAATGTGAAGGGTATTTAAGCTTTCGGAAAGCCAAATTTACTTTTTCTTTGTTTTCAATTCTTGTTTCAAATACTATTACTATCTCTTCACCTCAATTTTCTTGTTCTATTTTGTTTTAAAATCAGCTGATTCATTAGTGATATTTTTGCTATTTTTTCTGATTTTAACCTCGCGTTACTGGCTCGAATCAGATTTTACCTAATTTCGGCTCTGCTGAGTATATGTATTTTCCACTTTACTATCTGAGATTTATGGTTATGGTTTGTCACTTTTGTTTTGTTTCGTTTTATTTTAAAATAAATTAATAACTAATAATTTAGCCTTTGGTATGGCAGACCTTGCTGTGCCATGGCTCCAATTGTCGGTTATATACTCAAGTGTGTTTCTCTTTCCAAGTATTTTTCTTCTGCATCAGTTTTTAGCCCAACAACAAAACGATTTCAACAAAAGAAGCTGACGTACGGAAACTGTGTCGCAAGATAAAATTTAAAATAAACAAAAGTACATGAAAAATATAAATAAAAAGAAAATGAATAAAAAAAACATTTTGAGGTTGTGGTGAAACCTGTTTCTTGAACAAGTTTGGCTTTCGTTTGGGCACTACATTCTGCACTTAGGGCGTTACACATAAAAAATCTTGTCTTGTTTCTTGTCTTGCAATTTGAAATGCGTTTTAGCTTTTATTGTAATAAGACAAAATTGCTTCGATTAGATAAAGGTTACTTAACCGTTTTAACCTTGTAGAATAGAAGTACAAAATGGACTGCATATATAAAAAGTAATTAACAATTATATTATTTTAGTATAGGTTCAATGACATTGATTCTCTTGTAGTTGTACATCAGCTTTTTATGAAAACCCTTACACTATATTAAATTCCAATACTCCAGATATTTAATTTGCTTTAGACTATGATCATTTCAGTTGCCATAAGTTTTTGTTTCAGTTTTCGTATAATGATTTCTTATTGTTTAGATAGATAGATCTGACTTGCAGGTCGTCTACGGTCGTCAACTGAATCACTTAGGGCACAGAGTCATGCAGGTACTGTTAAAGCTAGTTGACTTTCTGAAGCTGACTGAAAAAGTTTTGAAGTAAAACTTAATTGAATGTTTGAAGATGAAAACAGTGCGTTGCGTATATAAATTAATAGGGAATTCTTTAATGTACATATTAGACTTATGAATTAGATATTGAAGAGAAAAAAAATCTACATTAAAAATCGTCTTCTGGCGAATGATTGGAAGTGTTAGAGAAAAAAAGATAAAAGTTACTCCTCATCTTCTGATCAAAACTTCGACAGTAAAAACTTTTAAATATAACTTCTATCCGGTTAGTATTTTACTTTGTTGAGCCTTCTCCTACATTTTGTAGTTTTTGTTGGCTCGTTTTTTTTATTTCTGTATAACAATTTATCTCTCCACTTTGTCTTCTCAAATCCAGATTCTCTTAAATTATTCCGACATATGCACTCCATCTTAGCTATAGTTGCGTTCTTTTGTTTGAATTATATCAATGTGCTGATGCTGACATTATTTTTGTTCGAATTCATTAAGAGACTTGATTTTGACTATATGTTAGAAACCCCTCAATTTTTGGGATTTAACAAAGTGAAAATGTTTTCATTCTTATCAGATTTTCAATTTCGACATTCCTTCGAATATATTATTTATAGTAATATATATAATAATATATAATAATTATAATAATAATTATATATAATAACAATATATTATAATAATATATTATATCTCTCGATGGCTTCTTTATGGTCGTATATAATAATATATTATATAATATATTATATTTATATGTTAAATTTATATATTATTTTTGGCTAAACTGAGAAAATATCACTAAAACTAGTGTTGTTTATATTATTTGAATTATTTGGCAAATAACAATATCCAAAATACTATTTTGTACTATTTGCATTAAATAGGTAGTACAAAAAGCTTTAATATTTGAATAGTTGGAATCAAAAAATACCTGGGTACTCTTTGGCTGAAATAATTTTATTTCTGTGCATACTAAGTGCATTGCTGAATAGCTTCAAATTTCTTAACTTTATTAAAAGTTACGAGTTTAAAGTATTCATTACAAAAGATACGTAATCGATAAGAGCAATGAGACAATCAATTTATATTTTTGAGATATTCGTAATTTTTATATGAAATATTTTTTATTTTAAGACAACTA